GCAGACCACCCCCTCCCCCCCCCCCCCCCACCTGACCCCGACACACGCCACCATACACACTAACACAGACGACCCCTCCCCGCACGCATATACGCACGCATGCGCACGCACGCGCACACACACAAACACACACACACGTACACACACACACACGTACACACACACACACACACACACGTACACACACACACGTACACGTACACACACGTACACACACACACACGTACACATACACATACACACACGTGTACAAACGGGCGAACAACGGATTGCATACCGGCCAGCTGTACTGAAGGAGTGCTTCACCATTGGTGACTGTTGTGTGTTAAGAGTAGCGGAATCCTTCTCGGAATCCCCCTGATAGGTGAACTGCCAGGTATAGTTCAGGGCAGGATTTATCTGTTAATGTTCAGAGACACGACAAACAGCAGCACAATCACAACCTGGTTGCAACAACATTCACTGGCTTCAGGGAAAGACACAAACGGGAAAAGTCTGAAGAAGAAATCGCCTGTCACCGGCGGGACTCGAACCATGGACCTTGGCTTGAGGCCGGCGATGCTCTAACCACTGAGCCATGGTATGGGTATACAGTCAACCGCCTTAATAACGACAGCGGATATGACGCTTGTTTCGTTCTTTTTTATTTTGCTCCGAAATAGTTGGAGTGATCACTGCAACTACATGTTGTTCACTATTGTGCATGATTGTACAGTAATCATCATACATGTACACGTCCCTGCAGGTGACTCCAAAAGGCTTATTTTTCAAATTTATTTCCCTTGCATATTGACTTTATAGTTCCTTTCGGTTGCGATATGAAAATAAAGTACACATTGGCATAGAGCGGCTCAGCCTGAAAAGAGCTTCATTTTGATATGAATGTTATACCATACAAAATATGAATTCACATACTGTAATTTCACAAGTTTTCGGTGTACTTTTATTTTTGGTACTTTCGGTGCGTCTGTTTCATACATAAAATTTCAATACGCCAAACAAACGCTAACACACGTAATCCAATAGGAAACTGCTTCTCCGTACCTAAAATTTCTGTTCACCTAACCTGGTCCTTTGCCCTCATACCGAAAATATTGAGCACCTAGAATTTCTGAAATTAGAGTAGACTCAAATGGGACTTCGGGTTTAAGGACACTTCACGAATCAGCTCGCTCCGCTTGATAAGTTCGTAAAAATACGTTATGACGCCAGCATTCAAGTAGGCAGGAAAGCGCGAGCTCCCGCGTAGGAAGCGACACACACTTCCCCAAGTATCGCCAAAGTTGCACACACCTGTTCTTCATATGATGCTAGTGTTCCTAACAGTGGGATTCAAACACTACAATCCATTTCTTGGAAACTTACCCGCTACGTTGCTAAGAGCATATAACACTGTGCGTCGGCGAAGAACTGGGACGGGGCGGGGGTCAGCCTCCCACTTCAAAAAGCAGCCTGGACCGGTCTTATTAACATGTATTACAGTCTATGCACGGTTGAGTCACCGTGTATACATTGGTATGCTGTGCTTGGTGAAATTCTAGCATGGCCATTCTTCAGCGTCAGACAGTACAGTGCTTAAAGGGCACATTTGAGGAATGGCAGTACGAACAATCGCACCCACCACCTACCGTATTTTCCGGAGTATAGTGCGCACTTTAATAGATGTGCTATTTTAGGCCCTAAATCGCAGGTGCGCACTATGCTCCGAATATGAAATGCATGTACTTCAATGAAGATTGAAGTGCGCACCCCCAATGAAGATTGGGGGTGCGCGTTATACAAAGGTGCGCACTATATTCCGAAAAATACGGTACCCAATGCACATACAGTACACAGCTTACGATCCAGTGCTTACATTCTGAGGTATATTGGCAGTGAAGAGGATAACTGTGTTCTTTTGAAGTGGGCTGCTGCCAAGGTAGGATTGAACGTCAATGGGCACCTTCCCGGTCAGCAGTTCTGCACATGGCCACACCCACCACGCAAGCACAACGCAGACAAACAAGCATCCACAACAGACGCTATCACCAAGAGTACACGAAAACCAGAGTGTGCAGCTCGGATGGGTTACTGTCACGGCGGAATTCCGTGATTACATCATTTTAGTGATGTAGTGCATACAAGCAGGATTCAGGCAGGTCTCTTTCTGCACAACTGCAGCTCAGTTGTACGCACTGCGCCATTTCCCGCCTCAGATCTGCGCCAAATATGATGTAATCACGGAATTCCACCGTGACAGACACCCATAGCAGAAAAGGCCCCAAGCTGCACACTCTGGTTTTCATGTACTCTTGCTACCACACAGGCACCATTGTTGCCATGACACCCTCCTCCCCTAAAGAGTGTCGTACGATTCCTCGAACCGCACTCTGCCCGTCCACGTGCACCGTACACACTTCACATTTGCCCTATTTCCCCCCTGCCCTGGGATGCCTATTTCCCCCTGCCCTGGGATATGCCTATTTGCCCTCTGCTCCAGGCTTGTATTCAAAACAGGTTTCTATAATAAGACAGGCTTCAACACAAGACACTACGGTATGCGCCATGGGACAAGACAATAACACGCCGCAACTCTTCTTGTTGTACGGTTTGGAAAAAATAGCCCATAGAACCATGCACGGGTGTTTTAAAGAAGGGAACAACAGGCCGCATGTGCTTGCAACGTACACGTGTAAAAAAGAAGAAAAAAGAAAAAAGTGTGCTGTGACCAGGATTCGAACCTGGGTTACTACGGCCACAACGTAGGGTCCTAACCACTAGACGATCACAGCTTGCTATAGGAGCACACGCTAGGTATTGCAGTACAAGAAGTATTCATCACTGAGCCAGAAGACTATGCAACCTGAACACATCAATGTTATACAAGTCCCACACATGCCATAATTCTTAACGGCCACTGTCAAAATTTGTTGATCTACTATGTTTGGAAAGTACTCTGTCGTCCACAGCACAGACAAGACGTAAGTACAGACACACTTCGGTTTCATTAGAAGTCATGTTTCGGGGCCATGCGACTCGACGTCGACAGCGAGTTTTCACCAGTGGAGAACACGCATGCACGACTGTAAGCGCGCCTACTCTATCTGCAGTAGTACAGTTGTGCACAGTGAATTCCAACCAAGAGTGCTCATTCGACACCTGCAATTCCCACGACCTTGACACCCTGGAAGTGGCATGAAAGCGGCCGGGCGTACACATGAAAAAGTACAATGATGTACTAGTAATCGGAACTCGTCCAGAGCGTCAGCCGGTTTGCGCTTTGGGTCGGATCTCACCGAGCACAACTGTACCTGTGAATCACACTACATGTGCATGCACGCCACGACATGTACATCACTACATCATGCTTACACTGACCAGCTAACACAGGTAACGGTTACAGACTGATCTAACAGAGACTATCGTGAATGGAGTTGTCATTGTGTTCAAGATTGTCGTTTCTTTTTCTTTAAAAAATAATAATTTTTCTTGCATCTTTTTTGGCGCTACACTCTGCGTATATATACTGTTCCTGTGTGGCTTCCACTGTATTCATTGTTCAGTCCGTGCGCCAGGCCACTGAGTGGGCCGTTTTCATTTTCCTGGGTCCGATCCCGCGGGAAAAAGTCTGCACAAAACTGTGTTGGTGAAGATGATGACGACAATGGCAGTTGGCGGTGAAATTTGGCAATTGTTTTGGCCTTTCTCGCGGCCTGTCTTCACTCCTTTGCCTTTGCAGCAATGGAAGATGATGAGTTCAATATTGTGCTTTGACGCCGAGTAGAAAATGTGAATCGCAAACGCCGTCTTGGCCTTTATTTATGGAAGAAACTGCTCTCCCCGATTTGCTGGTTTCGCCGACTGGCATCGAGAAGTAGACGAGCTGCGCTTTCCAAGAGCCGCGGACACCAAGCTCTCATGGCGGATCTTAGTAAGTACATATTGTTGTGTAGTGAGATGATAATGGTTTGAGCATTCCTGCCTGGAATAACCGATGGCACTAAGTGGAATCTCAATATTGTTTTTTTAGTATTTTTACGAGCACAAGTGTTGCCTTGTTGAAAATAGCACAACAACAACAAGAAAGAAGCATCCAAAGGAATACGATGTCATAAATAAATGTGTTCTCTTCCCGTTTAGTGTGCCTGTGCTTAGGATGGTACTGTTGAGGAATCCGAAAGTGCGAAATTTGTATGTCTTTATACTCTGTATATTGTAAAATTTGCATGACATTTTAGTGGGTATGGACTTGTAGTTGTATTCTCTTGAGATGTACCGTCGTTGCTGCTGCTGCATGGCTGCGGATGGACATGCTGGCCTTTATTCTTTTTCGAGATTATCGATTGAAACGAACCGAATGCTGTCTCGTTTCATGTACGTCGCTGACGCAGCTCCACTGCATTCATATTTTGGTGGCTGAACCAAGAGTCCATAGCCCCAAGAGCATGCAACTTTGCACGAGGGGTCTGAAGGGGCTTGCTGCCCACATTACGTAGCGACAAACTGGGGTACCGGCTGGGGCAGTGCGTCAACGATCTGCTGTGGTTTCCAGATTCAAAGCGCGCTTTTTCTCATAAGAGCCTTATGAATGTTTGTGTGCATGGTGTATCGCATGCAGACACTGCCTCGAACCTGCTGTGTTTCTGTGTGAAACCGATCCACCAGGGGTTAATAATCCGGGTTACGTCCTCTTGGCAGAACTACCGGCAGTGATGCCCAGCTATGCCAACATTCTAAAGCGCGATGCATGATATCACTTCTGCGACGCGCGACGATGCGATTGAGAATTTTTTCTGCAAATTGTTGCAGTGAGTGCTGCTTCACTGGAACCAAAATATGGTTCAAGTGAAGCAGCATCCACTGCAATTATACTAATAGGGACAACCAAATCCACTTCCATGGAGTTCAGTGTATTATCTGTATAACATTGGAAAAGTATAGTATATAAAGAGCGGAGCACTTTTTCCATTGAATTACTTTCTGTGTTTCATGCATTATTCCTACTGTCGTTAAAAACTTAAAATACTGCCTTATCTTGTGCGATCTGTGTGTCTTCTCAGGTAGATCGTGCTCAAACGCGTCTTGGCATTGTGTGAGAACAGCACGAAGAGGACCCAGGGTATTAACGCGTCTTGGCATTGTGTGAGAACAGCACGGAGAGGACCTTGGGTATTGCATCCTTTCCGCAAAAGGAGAATGACTCGCTTCTTTGTGCTAGTGTGCAAACATCCATGTGTTCTCCCAGTACTGCTGTTAGCTCAGCCAGAGGATTATCGCAGATCTGAGTGTGGCAAGCGATCAGCTGTAATAGCTTTGTTGTGAATGCTTGCACTGCTGTCAACTATTATCCATTCTAGCTGTGCCTCGTAGCACTTCTTGCAAAAGATATCATTCTCTGCTATTGTCATGTTCTTACTCCTTGGAACTGCTGAGACCGTTTCATAGTGGGAACACTTCATCTGTGCCTGTTTGTCCATAACTGTCTTACATGTGCTGCAATGCCGTCTATATTGGCTCGGCGTGCACTTTTGAGCTCGTCCGCTACGTTCCGTTTCATACACTTCTGTAGTAACACAATGAAGATTCTCAATGACAGTCCTTTACACGGCCAACGTATGTGGATATTAGTCTGTAGGTGGCTGCAATTTGGGTTTTTGTCTTTCGCCGTTCACTATTTTACCAAAATATTCCAATATTCTGCATTTGTCGGATGTGTGCACTGGTGTCCAGACGAGTTGCTTGGCATAACTCGCAGACAGGAATGCATACATGCCCAGGGTGTAGCTGACTGGCATTATTACACCGTCCTGATGAAATTGACTGACTGCAGATGCGCAGATACCACCGGAAACAGCATATGCCGACGACGCTGACTTCATATCAACGTCCCACACATACCTCCGTCAGCTTCTGGCACTTGCAGAGGACATCTTCGACAAGTGGGACCTGAAAGTCAATGTTTCTAAAACGGAATGGGTCAGGATGTACCTTGAACCAGTTTCAGAAACAACAGTGCACCGTGGTCAAGAGCAATGGAGAAGCATCAGGACTCTGGGCTCTCTGTTTGGCACTGCACAAGACGTGACACGCAGGATTGGTCTTTCTGCTGTGGCATTTGGTCGAATGAAGGCGATCTGGTTTCGGCGGCAACATCTACAAACTAACACCATGGTACGACTCTACAACGCATACGTTCTTCCTATCCTCACGTACAGTATTGGCTGCGCAGGCCTCTCTAAGGCACTGGAAGACTCCCTGGATAAGATCCATCGCAAGCAACTTCGGCATATGCTTGGTATCTTCTACCCTCGTGTCGTGTCGAATGATGACCTGTATGAGCTTGCTCACACTGAGCCAATATCCGCTATGGCAAAGCGAGCGAGATGGCGTCTGCTTGGACACATCCTACGCCAGCCATCAAGCAATGATTGCATACGCATCAATGGAGGACGCTGTGAGGCACAGGAGGGGAGCTCCAAGGTCCTGTTTAGTCACCACCCTCCAGCAAGACGTCAAGTTCACCGCCGTCGCATTGAAGACGAGCCGGCACCTAGAAACCCTAAGAAGTTGTGCAGTTGACCGGCAGAAGTGGAGTAACATTTGTTCTGCGGTGGTGTGAACACACATGACCGGCTGTGATTTTGGTGTGGACGCACATGACTAACTGTGATGACCAATGATTTCATTTCATTTATCTTTTTTTTTTTTTTTTTTTTTCTAAAAAAGAACTTTGCTGATGTGGTGTATTGGAACTCATGTGAAATCTACACCGTGATTGTTTTCGTCAAATATCATATCTTCTCTTTTCTCTCTCTGCCGCGGTGCTTTTTGTCACTCCATTGTCGTGAGTTCCCTTTGGAACGTAGACGAGAATTATTATTATTATTATTATGTGTTCATTGTGAGTGCTACATGTTTCCAGCTGTCCTCCATAATTATACATGTAAATAGCAAGAAAAACAGAGGTTAGAAAATTGGTCGGTGTGGTGTTATTTGGTCTTGGACACCGGCGAGAGACCACATACTAAAAGACTAAGGCTTGTTCTTCTGGATGTTGTAGTGGGTGTTACTACGCGTGCCTGGAATACTTGACGGCACTAAACTAAAGTCCTGCGTAAAGAAAAATTCAAATTTCGACAGTCGCAGAAGACGTGATGCTGCATGGGACAGAAGCACCCCGCGAGAAAATGTTCGAAACTGACGATAGAAGTTTGCCTTATCCGGCGATGGACGGCGTGTCAGGTCTGAACTCGAACGAAAAAGGGCCTTGTAAGGCCCACCTTGCAATGGCTAGAAACTTACAATTTTCAAGAAATAGCTCATAAAGCTCAAAGTCCACTGACTCTGGAAAATATAAAACACGGATAGAGTGCGATATTTTGAATCTGGCGCACGGACTGTGTTACCTGACAATGACCAAGTGCCAAAACGTAAAATAACGGACTTGGTTCGGATGTGCAGCGCTATGGGAATGGGTGTGTCCACCCGAATTCCTTTCACAGATGAAGGTGCAGGAAGCCTCAGTCATTCTTCATAATAATTTTTTACTTTGCTTTTTCTTTAGTTGTTGTGTGAGGTCAGCGATATCATGTTCTGTGATTTCCCGTATAAGACGATTATTACACAATGTTTACACTGACCGTGTGTGTGAACTGTAACCGTGGCGACGTGCGATGTCGCTCTGGAGCTGGCACTCGCTACCACAGTGTAAATACCAGGCCTGCAGGTGTATCACAAAATATCAACAGTGGCAGCAGCAGCAACACGAACAGCAGCATAAGCAACAACAGCAACAGCAACAGCAGCATAAGCAACAGCAGCAACAGCAACAGCCGCAACAGCGGCAGCAGCAGCGCCAGTGGCAGCAGCATCAACATCAACAGCAGATCAAGACCAGCAGCAGCAACATCATCATCAACAGCAGACTCAACAGCACCAACAGTAAAACGCAAATGTCACCGTTCACGCGAAACTCAGTTGAATCGAGTTTGCCACAACCCCAAAAGGAGGACATCAAAGCACTGATGTGCAAACCACAGCATACCTTGTATACACAAAGTAACTCAACTGTGCATAGACTGTAGCACATGAAAATAAGAATGGTCTAGGACAGGAGGCTGATCTCCCCCCTCTGTCTCTCTCTCTCCGCCTCTCTCTGTCTCTTTCTCTCTCTGTCTCTCTCTCACTTACTTGCTGTATTTATGATGGACAGTGCCACCAGGCTGAGACTCTGTGGATGCACCGTCTCCGAACTGCCACCTGCAGTAGCGGACAGGATGGGTCACACAGTCAACACACAACGTCAGTGCACGTGCATGTACACACAGACACAGAGGCACACACATGCACACATGCACACACACACATACATACACACATGCAGAAAATTCAGCCCATGAACTCCGAAGTAAGGCAGTTTGTCGCTGTTAGATTTTTCTCGTGTGCGAATGTGAAACGCACTGAACACTGACACGACAGAAAAAGGACGAAAGTAAAACAGGTTTATTAACCCTATGCATACTGGCCTATTTTACCCAGTATTTTGGCACTCTGTCACACGGACTCACCTGGTGGAGTTTGGGCGCACTGCTCCGAACGTAATTTATTCTCATTTCAGTTCCCTTGGATGGAATTTCATCATCCTGGGCTTGTTGGAAAGATCAGGACCAAGCAAATCCATCCTGGAAGTTCTCAGCTCCATAGCCCCACCAAGGCCACTTCCACCACCTCTCCAAACTGGCCCACCATGCCTCGGAACGAAACAACAAGTCATTCACACATTCGTTTTTGGCTCCTTGCTCAAATTCAACCGATTTTCAATTTTCAAACTGCTCTGCAAAGCTGAGATCCACGCTCTTCATTTTGATGTCCATAACGCAGGAGCTGAGCAAAGGGGAAATCCCCTGGCATGCTCCAAAAAAACTGCGAAGTCACGAACAAAAAATCGCGATCTTTCCATGCGGTGATTTGCGTGTTCATTTTGTCGGCGTTCTGTCAATCTTTGTCCGATCGCGAAGACGTTTATATCTCTGGAAAGCTGAGCTCAACACCTTTCCAACGGTGTGTCCTTTGTGGAGATCGGATGCTTTTTCACGGAGTATCGAAAGTTTGTACACTGGTCTATTCACCATGATGCACATCGCAAACTGAAGCGCGTGTATACGCGTCATCAGAAAACCGGCATGGGGTTCAGGCGTGTGCATACACGTCATCCGCACGCAAAGGGTTAATGGTGCATGGTGCATGTTGAATGTTCATGGATCAATCATAAACTTTTCAAATTTTGACCAAAAGCGAAAATGACGGTAAAGGGAGTTAGAGAGGCCCATGGCCAGAGATTCACCAGAAAACCCTACATAGTTCATCGCCATATGGCCGACACAATCGAAAAAGTAGAGAAAAAAGCCACTAAAAGAGTTGCACCGTACTGGCCCAGCAATTCAAAATCATGGACAATACTTGACCCCCCCCCCCCCCCCCCCACACACACACGCATGCACGCACGCACCCACACACCCACACACACAGCACGCAGCACCAGAGTGACGTACCGAATGCTGGATGAGGCGTTTGCCGGCAAAGTGTCTGCAGACAGTGCGACCGTGCCATTGCTGTTCGGTATAGTGGCGTTGGTCACCACGCCAACGACACCGTTTGTACTTGTACGGCGGAAGATCTTTAGGGAGAATGCGACTTCGACCGTCTTGTTTATGGTGGTGTGCGTGCATGGAAACACAGCCGGCTCAAACAGAGACGTCAGACCTCCGGCGCAGAAAGAGCCGGAAATACGCCGATATCTGTACAGAGAAGAAAATAGTTGCAGGGAGAGTGAGGGTGAGAGTGAGGGTGAGAGTGAGGGTGAGAGTGAGGGTGAGAGTGAGGGAGAGAGTGGGAGAGAGAGAGTGGGAGAGAGAGGAGAGAGAGAGAGAGAGAGAGAGAGAGAGAGAGAGAGAGAGAGAGAGAGAGAGAGAGAGAGAGAGAGAGAGAGAGAGAGAGAGAGAGAGAGAGAGAGAGAGAGAGAGAGAGAGAGAGAGAGAGAGAGTGGGAGGGAGGGAGGCAGGGAGGGAGGGAGAAATAATGTGAGAGATTGAGTATCGTAGAAGAGCCCAATCCACTCCTTAATAAGCGTATACGATGAGCTCATGCACGGCCACTCCATACAACGCATATGCGATGACATCATGCACTCCACACAACGCATAATGCGATGACATCATGCACTCCATACAAGGCATATGTGATGACATCATGCACTCCACACAAGGCATATGCGATGACATCATGCACTCCATACAAGGCATATGCGATGGCATCATGCACTCCACACAAAGTATAATGTAATCACGTCATGCAATCCGTACAAAACAAATGCGATGACGCCACGCATTCGTCTAATCTCTGCCGCTTTACCCTTTGGAGATGGAAATGTTTTTGCCGGCCACGCAGTTTAGTGCTCTCTTCATGCCCTGAATGACAACAAGGTCGTTGTTGGGCAAGCACTCCCAGCCAGACAAAATGTAGCCAACATCGCTGTGAAAAGACAAACAACACACATACACACACACACACACACACACACACACACACACACACACACGGCCGCAAGCAGTCCGAAAACACACGTGCACACGCAAACGAACGCGGACAGGTACACGTGCTGGAAAGTGAGAAACTTTCGCTCTAGAGATAAATTTTTGCTTTTTTTCTCAACCATCGCACATTTCGAAATTCTGAAGGACACCTCACGCAGCTTCATTATTCATAAAATGAATGGCTTTCAGCAAACTCGTCTTTACTCTAGTCAGCACCTCATTCCCCCAAACAAATGCAGTGATTAATCCGTCGAATCTTGCTCCATGACGTGGATTGCCTGGATCCAAATCCGTAGGACCTGGATTTGGCGAACCTGGATCCGGGGGCCCACGGAGTGGCACAATCGAACATGCCCTTGGTATCGTATTTCCCCGAAATTACTCAGTAAGCCGCACCTTTTCATTCAACATCGGCTCTCCTCTGGTGAGTTCCCACTATCCTATGGAACGAAACAAGCTTGTCAAGACTAACTACTTGCCGTTGTGGAGTGTTGCTGGTGAACTGTTTGTGCTGATGTTCGCAAGCACCGTGTAGTCTTGTCTGGTCAAAAAAAGAATCTTCTACTGCTATTTTACACTTAACTTGACAGCCCTTCAATGTGACTATATCGACACAATTTGGCTCAAACCTGAAATTGGGGTGCGACCTTTAATCGGGCAAATACGAGACGCTTTCTTGATCTCCAATGTAGTACATCATAGATCCACGGTACCTTATTTGGCACTACACTGTGCATGCATAGCTGCATTTGTATACAAGGCACACGTCCATTGAAGAAAGTATCACAAACCAACTTCTCGTATTAAAGGGGCAGTCCGCAAATATCGAACTTTTTTCACCAAAAGAATTATTTTAGTTTAGACCCCCTCATAATGTAAAAATGTTGACATATGCATGCATAATTATACAACAAAAGTTGCAAGTGTGTCACTGCTCCTATGGCCATGCACATGTATCAGTGTTTTCTGAAACGAAATTGGTCAACCCCCTCCAACCCCACAACGAAATTATTTCGTTTTGTGAAAAAAATTCGATATTAATTTTATGAACAACCCCTAAGGTTACACTGTCGAATAGCACAGACCAGATAGCTGGTGGTGCTGCACTGCTGTGGAGCTATTCACATGGACACACGCGGCACGAAGAGTACATAACCCCAAGAGTATGCAACTCTGCATATGCGGTCTGACGCGGCACGCTGCCTGCATTACCTAGCCACGGACTGTCAGTGTGGGACACTTCGTCACAATAGATCTGCTACCGTTTTCCTGCTTCCAAATGCACTTTCCTCGGAGGCTTCGGATGGTTTGTACGTGATGCGGCACGCACAGGTATTGCCTTCGAGCTTACCGCACTGCACGTGAAATCGCTAAGGCTAAACCGTTGGCGAACTCAAACCCACGCGGCTGGGTCCTGATTTCACTAGGCAATGCAGGCTGCTGGATCGTCATTTCGCTACGCAATGCAGGCAGCGTAGCGTGCACGGCACCTATAGCTTGGAGATCAGGAGTTGCACACTTTTGGGGTTACGTAATCTCGACGGCACGAATCACTTAACACTCGCATACCGTACCATTCGTAGTCGGATCGCTCACAGCTGCAGGAGGTCACGTTGTGCGGACGTTCAAACTTCATGCCGTTGTAGCAGATTGACTTGGGCTTTCTCAGGGTGATGAACTCTCGCAAACCGAATAGGCACTGGGCACCTTCTGGGTCCTCGCCGTCCCAGAATGCTGGTTTGGGCTGCCAGTCGAAATAGTCCTTTGGCTCACACGTACGCACTGCAGGACAAGGATAACGTAACGAGACAATGAGACGAGTGTTTGTGTGTGTGTGTGTGTGTGTGTGTATGTGTGTGTGTGTGTGTGTGTGTGTGTGTGTGTGTGTGTGTGTGTGTGTGTGTGTGTGCGTGTGTTTTAAAAGTAACTTCAATCAGCTTTATGGTGTAGACCAGGCTAAAATTAGTGGCGGTCAATTCATCAGCCTTGTAAGCTGTTGACTGATGTAATCCCACCACAAGTTGCTATGTCTAACATAGCTGTTCACTATCATCGCTTCTGCAGTGGGAATGTCCCAGTCTGAGTATTTGTGTGTGTGTGTGTGTGTGTGTGTGTATGCGTGTGGATCCATGTGTGTACGTGAGAGAGACAGAGAGAGTGTGTGTGTGTGTGTGTGTGTGTGTTTGTGTGTGTGTTTGTGTGTGAGTGTGTGTGTGCGCACGCGTGTGTGGTGTGTGTGTGTGTGTGTGTGTGTATGTGTGTTTAGGCGCACGCTCACCAAGTTTGGCTTTGAGGTCGACGGTGACCATGGCCCACTGTAGGTACGTGCCGGTGAACCTTCCAAACAAGGTGAAGACGGACGACGTCTCTCCTGGCTCACTGAAGATGTTGGATACAACCATTTGCTTGGTTCCAAAGATGAACATTGACCACGTCAAGCCCATGTCTACACTATAGCTGCACCGCGTAACACACACACACACACACACACACGCACACGCACACGCACACACACACACACACACACAGGAAAACACACAGAGAGAGAAAGTGTCTTCTATAAATCAACTAATTTTCACTGGCGATTTAATTTCGCCGCTTGGTGGCAACCACCCGAAGATAATCACAAGCCAATATTTGTCATTAGACACCCGTAGCAAAAAACGTTATGTTGTAACGGTATTATCGTAAGGGGGGAAATTAGTGGTGCGCACGGGTAGTCGGGTACCCGTGCTACCCGTGAGGACCTCGGGTAGTCGGGTACCGAATAGTACCCGAAAACCCGAGGTTGCAGATGACATCATGTACAGTGCACATGTACAAATAATTCACGCATGTCTACCCAATAGGGCTTGAAAGTGCTACGTCACAGCATAGCAACAATTTCAAAAATTCAAAAATTGGATCCACTTGGATCCAGTTTTTGTATGGATCCAAGCACATTTCAAGCCGTCTTACTCACAGCAAGGTGATGTAGCCAGTGAAACTGACTGATTTGGCTACTGGGGCGGGGTTACAACTGGTGGCGAAGTAAAAGTCACCCCTGCATACGACATGAGTGGGTTGCTATGCACCCACATACTGAGGCAATAGCAAAGTCACACCTTAGTGGATCCAAAATAGAAATCTGATGTCAACTTACTACTCCCTGGCCGTTTTTGACGTCATCACTTTCAAGCCCTATGCGCAAGGGAAGGGGCCGGTGTGCATTTTGGTCTTACCATGGAAACATTACCCAATCGGGTACCCGTGCTACCCGTGGAAAACTACCCGGACCCGATACCCGAAGAAAATGCTACTCGGCTCAGCCCTAGGGAAAATACCGTGATTTTGGTTCGGCCTTTAGCAAGATGCACGCTATTTTTAGTAACCTGTTGCCACGAGATAGCTTATTTCGCGCGGTACAACCATTTTTGTCACCATATACGTGATACAAGGTGAAATGCGTACGGGCTATGCAATATTTGGCCAAAACACGTACCGTTGGTCACAACGATAAATCAGCCCCCATAACGTTTATACGCTGCAGCTTCAACGCTATTTGGGTGATCAAGGTACGAGTACTGTAAAAAATAGCGTTACCGTTGTTTGCTAAGGGTGTCTATTGAGGCAAAAGATACATAATTAAACCCCAATCGGCCAAAGTTTGTTCACGGCCAAAACTTTCATTTCGAGATCAGCCAAAGTTTCTCCCCGGCCAAAATTTGCCTGTGTGTGTGTTGTGGGCTAGCGGTTACTTACTAGAAGCTGTTGACGGCAATGTTGCTGTATGGCACTGCTACAATAATACCACCGTGGTCACCGGCACGTATATCATAGTATGGGCTGGGGCTGGATGGTAGCTAGCATCAACATACGAATAGGCACACACACACACACACACATGCACAAACAAACGTATGCACACACACAGACACACACACACACATACGGACACACACCATTGGACCATTGGACGCCCATCGCCGGAGGCGATGATAGCGATGCTACAGCAGAAGCCATAGCAGCTTGTGCCGGGATTGCACCATTCAACAGCTTGCAAGGCTGAAGAATTGACCGCCACTATTCAGCCTGGTCTACACCACACAGCTCTGAAGTGGCTTTTTCTGGCCAGTGAATCCCTACTTTTTGGTCTTTTTTCATATTTTTTCCCGCACACACATCACACCACATACTCCGGCATGCACTGGCTGTTGGTAACCACCCAGGAGAATGAAAGAAAAGTCAGGAGGAGTCTGAGAAAGAGAAGAAAGACGGACACACACACACACACAGACACACACACACAGACACACACGTGTTGAACTTGCTGCCAGAAGCAGACAGAAAAGAAATAATTCTGACACCTGCGCACACGCACGCACACACACACACGCACGCGCACACACACACACGCGTGCACACACACACACACACAGACCCCCCCCCCCCCAACATACATACAAACACGTACAGGCACAAGCCTGCATAAAACTCACCTTTGGAAACTCCCAATGAACTCCGTTGTCTCTTGTCATGACAACATGTTGCTTGCCAGTGTAATGCTTACCATAATAAGCTGTATGAAGAAGAGAGGAGATACAGCCGGGTTATGATGGTATGTCAACTTACATACCCACACCTACACCCACACCCACTCACACATACATACAAACATGCATGCACATGCACCCACACATACACACAAATGCACACCCAAACACACACACATGCACACACACACACATGCACACACACACACACACATGCACACACACACACATGCACACACACACACACACACACACACACACACACACACACATGCACACACACACACACACACACACACACACACACACACACACACACACACACACACACACACACACACACACACACACACACACACACACACACACACACACACACACACACACACACACACATGCTGAGTACAAACCCTTCAGTAGGTTTATCAACAAAAAAAGATGGTTCGCTTGAGACTAGACTGGAGACCCAGTTTTCCGCATCTGTAGGAACCCTATCACCCTCTAGGATCAAGGAACCCTATCACCCTCTAGGATCAAGGAACCCTATCACCCTCTAGAATCAAGGAACCCTATCACCCCAAGGATCAAGGAACCCTATCACCCCAAGGATCAAGGAACCCTATCACCCTCTAGGATCAAGGAACCCTACCACCCTCAAGGATCAAGGAACCCTATCACCCCAAGGATCAAGGAACCCTATCACCCCAAGGATCAAGGAACCCTATCACCCTCAAGGATCAAAGAACCCTATCACCCCAAGGATCAAGGAACCCTATCACCCCAAGGATCAAGGAAACCTATCACCCCAAGGATCAAGGAACCCTATCACCCCAAGGATCAAGGAAACCTATCACCCCAAGGATCAAGGAAACCTATCACCCCAAGGATCAAGGAACCCTATCACCCCAAGGATCAAGGAACCCTATCACCCCAAGGATCAAGGAACCCTATCACCCCAAGGATCAAGGAACCCTATCACCCCAAGGATCAAGGAACCCTATCACCCCAAGGATCAAGGAACCCTATCACCCCAAGGATCAAGGAACCATATCACCCCAAGGATCAAGGAACCATATCACCCCAAGGATCAAGGAACCCTACCACCCCAAGGATCAAGGAACCCTACCACCCCAAGGATCAAGGAACCCTATCACCCCAAGGATCAAGGAACCCTACCACCCCAAGGATCATGGTGCAGATGCAGCTCCTAAAGTGGTGCGAGGTGAGTAGATCAGACCAACCACCAAGTGGTCGAAGGCCGAAAAGCTCATTCGCTGCATCCATGCTTCCCTCGTGCCAGGCCGCGAGTTCCCAATCAACAGTGGGTCGCAGCACGGCAGGGAAACATCCTTCCGCTTCCAAGCAGGTTTGGAACCTGGTACCCTGTGTTCCTGAATCCAGGACTGGTGAAAGCAGTTTTTCATTGGTCCGGCTGTACCATAGGTTTCCATACGGTTTGAGTATGATATGGAGGTTCTACACATGACCTCCGCAGCAGTAAACACACATTTGTAGCCAAACACAGTTGATCGGGCCACGGCCTGACTAAAGCGGATCGGTTCCGTCCCATAGTCTTAGGGGGACGTCCGTAATTGTCGATCTTTTACACGAAACGAGAAAGTTCGTTCATGGACGGGTGGGTCGATGAAAGTTTCTTTTCGAAAAATATCGATAGCATAAACATCGAGCCATTCTAGCTGTCAACGGCGATATGTTTTTCGTTCGGGGGGGGGGGGGGGGGTTTGTAACTAAACTTTTCCGTTCCATGAAAATAATCGATAACGCCGAATGGCCCGGCCCTCTAGACTGTCCCAGTATGCCTGGCTGTAGGGTTTATCTAAAAATAAATTTCACGGTTCGCGTGAGACTCGGCTGGAAGCCGAGTTTTCCGCATCCGCCGTGGGAACGCCACCACCCTCTAGGATCAAGGCGCAGATGCAGCGCCTAAACGGTGGGAGGTGAGTAGATCAGACCCACCACCAAGTGGTCAAAGACCGAAATCCCATTAGCTGCATACATGGGGTAGGGTTTAGGGTTTATCTGCCTGTGTTCTATTCTGCTGTCTCTTACCTGAAGCCATGATGAGACCGGGGGCGGACTCAACTGAGTAGATTTTCGGATACTGTGAGAGGGAGGCAATGAACTCGCTGACCATGTGCAGAGAGCAGTTCGGCTGCACGACATTCACAAACATCACGTACACACGCACATACACACACACGCGCGTACACACACGTAGACACGCACACACACAACCACACGCAAAATATATCAGCACCAGTTGCTGGTTAAAAGTCCCAGTCACTTCGGAACAATCAAACACAGTCTGGACAGCAAGGGAAGCAGAACCATAGAGACACCGCCAGCATATGAACAGCTCAGGTGGAAAATATAATA